GTTCGTTCATAAGTACGCGTGTTCGTGTCGGGCGTTCGCAAGTCGAGGACTTCCTGTAATTGCAACTGGTCCTGGGGATCGAACTCAGGTCGCCGGGTTTCGTAGCGCAGCGTGCTCACCTCTCCACTGCTGCTTCCAACACAGATCCCCCCGTATAGCCTGAACCAGACTTTTGGGGTAAGGACTGTTTGTAAGCACCTATGGAGGCCGGCACGGCACAAAAAGGCAGTGGGTATCCACACGACGCCCAGACGCTCATTCCTCTCCCCGTGCTGATGTGTACACGCCACACCAGGTACTCATTTGAGGCTGAGTCGACCTATGAGAGGTCCATGACCGGTTCAGATAAGCGCCACTGGTGTTTGCTGTCAGCGGGAATCGAACTCGGGTCACCGGGTTCGTTGCGCAGCTACACGACCACTCACAAACACTCACGCAATGAAACACGCACCTCTTGTCATGAGGCTTTCGCACAGCTGGGAGCTGGGTGCGTGTTAAAATGGGCAAACACACATTTAGAGGATCACAGTTTTACCGCGATGAATATTTAAGTAAATGTACCATTCGGCACAGTTTTTTTTTTTTTACACTGACCGTTTAATTATATTATCGATGGCTCATATAGGCATGCTGGAGATGAAAATTATGGTGGATCTGATTCAACCCTGAATGGGAGCACGATTACTCGAGAAAAATGCCCAAATGGATTAAAGGGTTTCCGAAGACATTGAGACGCAAACGCACGTTTGAAAGCGGTTAAAATCCATGCTGTATGCACGCTTTTTCTTTCATTGTTAACCAATCCTTTGCTGAATGAGGAGTATCGTAGTGGCTCCGCATTAGCCAATGATGGAAATTTCACTTTTTAAGGCGGTAGCCAATTAAGCTCATGTAACAATCACTGCCTTAATCGCACAAAGCAGGATCTGTATTAGCAACCCCCGGAATGAGGGTAGGTAAGATTTTACAATGACCAGAATTATGAACTCGCAATATATACTGTGTGCACATTATGCAATAGGCAACTATACAGCAAAGTAGAGAAACACAGTCACCCTCTGTGGTTGCTCCGTAATCCCTACATCGCCAGCATCACGAGGATTTCGTGCAAAAGGAGCGAGAGAAAAGCTAATCGCAATGTTGGGTTTAACAAAAATGCGAGCAATGCGGGCAGGCGCCTGTTTATCAGGCGGTAGGGCCGGCGTCACTCAGTCAAGCGGGCACCCCGCGACGTTAAGCATCGGACACGCAACACACGCACTGCACACAGTCTGTTTATAGTCAGGAGTCAGCATCCGCACGTTCCGGTCCCACTGGTCTCCGTCTACCGTTGTGAACCAGTGCTGGAACTTCAACCTTCCTATGGCCGAGGCTAACACATTTATAGGGTATCCAGCCCCGGAAGAATGACGGAATGATATGACACCAACCCAGGATGTTACCTGGTAACCTTGTGAGACGAGCGCTATTGACATGTCATCAACATCAGCAGCTATGTTCCAACCACTGCTGGATAAATGTTTCCCAACGTCTTTACCATCAGGCGTGATTTGGATTGTGGAATTGCTGTGGACATCATTCAACGGGCCTCTTGAATCAAAATGAGTTGGACTTGTTTACTAAATGTTCACACGGAAATAAAGTGTGCGTATTGTGGAATTCCGGAAACATTCCCATATTCAAAAAGGGAAACATAATTACATAAACATTAGCCTCTTCTCGCACGTATATAAACTGTTCATGAAAATCATAAAAAAACTAAATAATGGAAAATGTAGAGGCCAACCTAACACAATGCCAGTTGGTTTTAGAAAGTGTTTCGATCATTGACCACATACATACGGCCAACCACATTCTAGACAAGACAAATACAAACTATACCTATTGCAAATAAGGCATTTGATGCATGACACCGACACAGATATCCAAGCTGTCACAAACGAAAGCCTTATTAGCACGTACTTACTGTAATGCACACTAAAGTAAAACGATCAAAAGTGGAGTCAAACAACGAGATACACCCTCACGAACGCTATTCATTGACGCTAAAACGCATTTTCTAATGATTGTACTGGAGCTATGAAGGCATATACACTGTGATCAAATTCAACTTCTCACATTTGGCCTGAAGGCAGCAATGTTAATGTAGAAATGTGCCTCTGTGTGGTTTAGCATAAGACATCTTACAAACGCTTGTGTAGTCCATTTCACCCTTCCATTCATTGAAAACTTTTGTCTGGTCAGTTCTTGATGCTCGTATAAATTTAGTGATGCACATATGCAAACCAGCGAGTTAGAGGTGAAGATAGCGGATCATGAGAATATTCAGTCATCTAGAGGCACTTCTAGAATATTTTGCAAAAAAATGGGTCTACCCATTCTGTACCGGTACGATTGCTTGCGGCACAATAATTGGGTTTTCTTTACTCTCTAGTGTCCACCCACACGCAGCACACTGCTCAACATGAATTAGACAATTATCACAAAGACCATTCTGCAGACGAGTCTGGAGACTGTGAGCTTGCCTAGGTAAATAACATTACATTGCTTAAAGTTGTCGAGAGGGGCTGTGGCAGAGCGTTCCATTTAGCTCATCACTTATCCGGTGTTAATAATATAAATCGGTCACACCATTTTGTTGGTAGTCAACAGTGATTGTCTTATGAAGTATGGCTCCTTCATACAAATGTGGACAATTCCACCACTGGCGCAGGACTGTAAAGGACAGGAGGCCTGATTGAGACATTTAATTAACTCTTATAGGGTTATTACGCATTATATTCACTTGTCTGTGCAGCGTTAAACCTGTAACTATAATGGTCGTAATAAAGCATCCACTGCTGATACGGGTTAAGAAGCCAGATGAGGTTTATACTGTGTACCGAGACTACACATGCCCAGTGGGTAGACGCACTCTGCACATGGGTGACGGGCTTGGGTTTGCTTGTGGTCGGGAAGGCGGCATCACGAGGAGGGTGCCTGGGGTAACCTGAGAGGCCACAATTACAGTAATTGGAGGTAATGCTGCGCGGGCGCCACCGGTGGATCTGCTTTCCATCACATCAATAGGGCGCATTGAGAGTGCTGCTGTCACCACAACACCGGCTCCAGCCCAGACCATCGACAATGAATTATTCAGTTTGATAAAAACAGACATCCTCTCTGTTGCGGGAGGTTATCATTTTTTTTATTTCCATCTATCCATTCACTCTCAACCAATCCTTCCTTCCCAGCCACATTGTCAGAGCGAAGACAAATGGTGACCTTCCCAAGTGATTTCTGGCCGTTTAGCACATCCCAGGTTTGAAACCCAACGCTCAAATTGGCGTCATTTCAGCTCCAATAACAGGAAGCTTTCTTTGTGAGCGCAGTCGCTATTCATGAAGCTTACCTGTCGTGTACCAACACTGACATTTCAAATTGCATGTGCAGACAGGTCCGGTTATGTGTATGCAAAATGGATGCTTCTGCAATAATGAGAACATTTACATGCTGCTCATGCACTATATTTATAAATGCACACAACCACTTAAGTTAGTTCAAATGCTGGTCGAGAGCGGACAGCTCATTAGCCCTCCGGGATATTTGGATTATAACTGTTGGAAACCAAGAGGGCATACTACCCCTGTAATTGGAATGTGAAAATTTGCTAATGGCCCTGAGCCGCCAATACAGATAATCAATGCCCAATGATAGTATGATTGTGAACTACGTTTCGTTTTGCTTCAAATTCATTCGACACAGCACATTTATTTAAAGACGGCAAGGAAACGTGCATTGTATTGCTGGTTCAAACACGCCTCCTACTGAAAATGAATATGCCCTGCATCCTAATGTTTGAGACTCCTTCGGGTCACTGCGACGGCAGGTGGCTAAAATTCAGTGCACATGCTGGGCGGGGAGAGGGGGGGAAACCGAGCTTGTTAATTTGCGCTATTGTCCAAAGCACTACGACTGCTGAGTAGATGTGACCTCAGAGCGAGCCTCGTGTATACGAGTTGTTTTAAAGCGAGGGTGGAAAAACGAGGGTCGGCATGAAAATAGCTGGCGAGCGCACCAATGTCATCACCTTATATGGCCATCAGCCATAACAACTTGTCAACACCATTTGAGCCTATTGTAAAAGCTATGCTGAGCATGAAGTGGCAAGCTGCTGTGACCCATTGCTTGTTCGAATTTAATGGAATAAAAAAGTTCATCTTCAATGTCAGTCCGGAAATACATCTCTCGAAACTTAAATGTTTGCACAATTGTATTTGACAGGACAATGAACATATCTTCCATGACATTACCTCATTGTTCAAATTCGGATTACTTGAAAACAAAAACTCAACGTCAGGCCAGTCTTCCTCATACGAGCATTGGGGCAACGTTTCTTCGCAGTTAGTGGCCCTGAGCCAGTGGGTGCAATTGCAGAGCATCAACTGTGACTTCTCAACGTTGTACACCTTTTCTAACCTCGATGACTCGAGTCGACACCCCAGATTGGGCTTTGGACCCACAATCTTCTGTGAATCGACGACTGATTCTGTTGCGCAATCTGGAATGTTTTAGGTATTCATAAAATACTTCCATAATTAAAATGTTCGTGCAAAAGGGAGATGCTTAAAAACATTATCTGCTCGATCTCACTTGCTGTACTGCTTTCTACAAGCCACCTCAAGCAGGGTGTTAGACGATCCATTTACTGCATTCCATTTGAAATGCACATTTCTATATTGTAATTCATATCAAACTACGTAATTTTACTTTAGCATTTTTTAAACGTCATTTAACCAGTGAGAGCACACCAATATACTAAGCCGCTTTGGTGATACGCACCTGGTCAACAATACAAAATAAAGCACACTTATTTCCCTCAAATTCTCCGAGTGTAATTACAAGCACGAGTCTTGGATTATGACGGCGCAATGCCCGACTTGTCAAGGTCACTGGGTCTTCAACGTGCACTATACGGTTTGAAAAAAGTCATGTTAAAACACGAACATATTGGCATTAAGTATGGGCTTAGCACGATTTATTATTTTGCCGCAACGAATACACACGGCGACAGTTGAAACATCAGTGATTCATCATCTCCGTGTTTTCACCTCCTGTTGAAAATATGGGTAACTATCGCCCACTCGTGGCTACCTCATGAACTGTGCATGGGTCATGATTACCAACCCGCAAGGATTGCGCTGACAAAGTCCACCATCATAAGGCCCACAAACCTAGGCTGACTGCACTTCCACATACCAGATATGGCAGGCAAGACACGGTACTATTTAAATTGGCTCATATAAACGCCTTGATGCTCTCCATTGAAACGTCATGGGTTCATAACGAGTAAGCATGCAGTCATGCTAGGACGGAGGCAAAATACTCTTTTAACAAGTGCAATAGCCTCATGCTTTGCAGTGGATGCTTGTGAAAAATACAAGGCTCCAACGAAAAATTTAACCAGCACTTGTTCGTAAAATTGGTTTCTCTTGGCAAGCGCTGACGGAATTTCGAGCCGTGCAGTTGGCGACCTCAACTTTATTGGCACACAATCTTTACACTCACCACCTTTAATGAAAACACGAGTTATTTCTTGTCATCCCACCAATAATTCAGCGATGGCATCACCACGATGTCCTACGTAAAAAAAAAATACTAACCAATGATGAAGACCTTACATATTGTGTTAAAGCTTCTAAAGGGCTTGGAAATTAAAATAAACCCAAAAGGCACCACCAGGCGCAAAACTATGGAGGTTTTGGGTGATCAAGATGGAGACCAATAAAATTATGACAATGCATTACACACATTAGGATGTCCTTATGCACATTTCCCAAATTGCACAAAATAAACTCTTCACATATAAGCAAAGAGAAAAAAATCACATTTATCGTGACAATCTAAATTACAAATGAATGAGTTAATTCCCTTCTCATCACTTTGCTGACCCTGTAAAAAAAACAACCCCTCCATCCTACCAAAGCTTTATCATGAATAGATATACTGCACAGCTGCAAGACGTTAAGTGTGTAAACTTGTGTGGGTGAGCAGTTACAGACGTGCTGCCAAGGCTCTAAGGAGATTACCCCTGCAACTTATAAGGTTTTACTATGTCTACAAATTACCAAAGCCAAACCATAGGAATCTACACTTTCTGGAAAAAAAATAACTAACCAGAGCCATAACTTAAATGTTAAAGGTAGTTATGTCCAGAGTAACTGATTGTGAAACACTATTGTATTCCTGCATTGTGTCGTAGCAGCATGGTTATAGGTGGGTATGGATTTAATGAGGGTGCTTGGGTGCATGCTTTTTTGTTAAGATAGCAACAAATTTGGCAGAATATATTAAAAGTCTACAAAAGCATATCCGCACATTATAAATGTATGCTTCGTGACATTGTGTATTAATCATATAATGCTATCTATCGGTGAAGTGTGTTTAATCATTGGCGATTTTAAACAAAATAACAAAAGTGCAACCACAGGATGGGGGTGTGTGAAGGGTCTGCAGGTAAAAAAAAAGAATGTCTTAAAATGTAACGATTGTTAATTTGACTTACGTCGACATCTCAATGAGGGCATCCAAAGCTTAAACAAAAAAATGGTGAGCTTTTTAAAAAGTTTAAATCTACACGTGTCCCATTGCCTGTTGATACCAGCATTACTAATTGTTAGAATTGAAATAATTAACCATAAAATGTTTGGTAAAACAAAACTCTAATTTAAGTGTGGTCATTTTTTTTTTACTATAATGAGCATCAGTGTTACTTATTAAGCCATTACCATATGTAGAACAAAAGATGAGCTTCAAATTGGACACCAAAATGAGTGCACTGCGGATGGGACATGAAACTTGTTGTATTGTCCTTGTGGAGAAACTTTAGTATGTGTAATACGTGGAAAAAAAACTGAATAAATTAATCAACTTCTATGATTACGTGCACATTGCAGCACAAGACACTTCTGGAAATGATACCGACATCTGAAGTCAGCAAAAACAATACCCAAAGCTAACAATAACTTAAAGGTTTAGAAAACTAAAATCCACAAACACAACAAAGGTTAACATGTCTGGACGTCACCCAATCATCTGCACCTCAACATGGACCACAAGCACAGCTCATGAATAGTGCCGCAAATATTTAGCATGCCACCAGTTGGTACATGCAAAACACCTGCTGCGTTTAGCAGTATCTTAATTGCACAAAAGGCAGCCAACAAGTGGTTTTACAAAGCACACCAATTACTCGCTATACACCAATACTGAGCTTAAACCAATGTGATTAATGTTTCTCTACATTCAGCTTTTGTTTTCACGATTCAGAATTCACCATACGTGTTAAGATTTTTTTTTATATTCTCCGCTTACATCCATTACAAATGAACCTGGGAATTCAGTGATGTAAGCCGATTGGTAACACCAAGGCTGATTAATTATCACAAGTCCATGCCATTTGTATGCATTATGCAAGCAGCTTACGGGAAATTATTGAAATGCATTGTCCTTTTTTTCTTTCCTTTTTTTATGAAAAAAATGCAGAATGTGAAACAAAACTTAAGGGAGGAATTTTTTTTTCGTAACACAGGAAAAATGACAAAATACAATTAAAATAATAAACATTTAAAATATTACAACTTGGTGTCGAGTGATGTGATTACTCACAAGGTTAACATCCTAATCAGCTGCTGTATCACCCATCAAGAGTCATCCAGTCTAGAAAACGTTTATATATACAAGTGGACCTGCGCATTCACTTGGGAGAACAAAAGTTCTTGTAGTCCTTTTCCAGCATGTCTCACTCAGCTTTAGAGACAGTCTGTACATGTGAACTGAGGCATATGTATTTTCAAAGCATTTGGCCATATTGGTCGCTCAGAAGTGAAGGAGTAATCGAATCTTCTCAAATAGGCAAACGCGTTTCTTCGTTAATTACTGCGAGATTCTCACATCATGAAGGAATTTTGATTCTTCAGTTTTTCAAGCTCTTTATTCTGCTGCCGCAAGAAGAGTATCCTGTAAGACATCCATTGTTAGCATACCAAACGGTTACCTAATATTAAAAAAAAAATTGCATCATTCCTACATCTGAACAATGCATATTAAGATATTAAGTTACACAGCTTGTGATTTGTTACAATTATACACTGCAGGTATTTCTACAGTATAAGCAAACTGTTAAGCCACTCCGTTTCATCGTAAACAATGTATATCAAGCAACGGGCCTTCCAGATCAATGTCCGAAAATTGCATTTGTTGAAACAAGATAAACTATGAATTCTGTTTTTCTTTCACCGAGGCGCATGGCCTGCATGCTATTCTGAAAATAAATTGGAAGGTCCACTTGGTCATTGGAGAGATGGCTATTAGATTCTGGCAATGAAACTATACCTATCCATTTCTGAAGATAAAATATACCCACGATTTTTTATGGAAGTACAATTGTTTACCATTTTTTTTTGCAGAAGAACCTTGTTTGCCGTTTGTGTTGAGGCATAGTGATGTAGTCATTCATTACCATCAATAGCTTGCAGAACAAAACAACATCTATTGGGGAACAATTCTGGAACAAACCATGACGTTTCTTGCGTGGGTTTGCTGTGTTATACATCTACTTATTTTTAAGAAAACAATCCATTAGAGTTGGTATAATCCAAATAGCAAAACCAAATAAATATATGACAATTTGTATCGGGCGGTATCTGAACCTTTTCACTTGGAGAAATGGAGGCCGTGTGTGTCTCACCACACACAGCCCCATGTAGTGCAAAGCTGACCTTAATAAGTTCGCTTACAGCATGTACCCCATCTTTAAAGTAAAATTGGAATTCATTTTGTCCTTTTCTAAATCACTTATTAACCAACACCTTGCCTTGACAGTAAAATAAGAAAAACAGAGGGGATGTGTTTTGTCATGTTTGGTATAATAACACTGCAGCAGGTGTGTTTGCAACTCCTCAATGCGAGTTGTTACCGTTGCTCCCGTAGTGTGGCTTGGATTTCTGATACCCGCACCAGCGACCTGGCGTTCTTCAGTTCAGTACAAATTTCAGACATTTGTAAGCACCCCAAGCTGTAACTCTCTTCCCGTAATCTTGCTGCCTAAAACAATGACGAAACATTTAGCACCCATTATGTATAGAAACGTATACATAACGATTTAACCATTATGCAAATACGGTGCAATAACAGAGCGCTCGACTTGCAGTAATCAACAAACATTGTGCCAGAGAGTAGCATATGAGAAATTGAAATCATAGTTAGGAGTCTGGAAATATTGGTCGCAAAAGCCTACGTGCTAAACTAAGTAATGACAACTGTCATGTGTTTCTTAAATACAACGAATTAGCACTTAAGTAAAACCAATCAGTTATTAAGGACTGCACAATACATGGGTGGTGTATCTTTTAAAACATCATAAAACATCTAAACTTAAATCCCAATCGTGCTATAATAAAAACTAAATCAGGCAATGTTCCTCAAAAAACATTTAAGTCATTTGAGCCACCTGTTACAAATATTTATATTTTTAAGTTTAGACATTCAAATGTAGTCCATGAGCCAAAGTAGATTTCAGTCCCACCACGACTACCAAGTGGTTTCTGTATGTGACTTACAAAGAGTGGATTATGTGATAACATAATTCATAAGGTCATTGCAAAATTGTCATTGACAAATTTTAAATATTGGTACAAGTTTTCTCAGGTGTACCGACACATTAAATATTTGATATGGGCATATTGACAAATTGAATCCTGCAAATAATAAGGCACACAAGGCAGACCTGTTTCTCCAAGTGTTCAGCTGGCCATCCCTGGACATGCTTGGTGAGGTTCTCGCAGTAATGGGAGGACAGTCCAGGTGACAGGGAGCTGAGGCCAGATAGGGACTGGCACGCATTGCTGTGGGAGCTCACAGAAGGCTGTGCACTTCCAGCATGTGACCCAGACATAGTGCGGGCAGGGCTGGGATGACTGCACACAGCCAGATCGCAAGGAAGAACTTTACAATTCTGGTGCATTTATTATTTTAATCTTTAGGTTTGAAATTACTAATTATATTATGTTTGTGTTAATGCCACCACATTGAGATAACACTTTCTATTTCTAATCTGGCAGCAACCAGTAGCTGGTGTCAGAAAAAAAAACCTGGAATAGGAATATTGAAATTCCTTTAGTAAGCCTCTTATTCACACAGGTGGTATACCCGTATATGTCCGAATAGTATTCTTCACCAATGAGTCAAAGCAAACTAATAATTTCTTGCCAAATTCAATGAAAAACCCATTGTGATAGGTTTTGTTTTGTGCAATGGTGAATGGGCTAAGATCATCCACTCATTACACTTGAGATGATCCACTCATAAGACTTATAATAATGGCTTAATTACATGTGCATGCTGGGATACAATAGCAGAATCACAGTATTACTCTAGCAAAGTTATTTCGAGCCATCTGAGCCACCTCCATCACAATGTAATACAATATAATACCTAACTCAGCTGCAAGTTACCCCAGAAGTCCAAAAATGGGCAACTGTAGCAATTTGCGTGAAAATAATTAATGGTTCAATTACGGAACCCGCCTGCTAATTTCTACTCGGTAAATTGGACGTTAAATATCCTAAGACCAAATTACTAAATAGTAGACCATTGTGTGCTGCTAAAGTTTGAATTTGCTTAAATATAAGATATGTGAAATGTATTGTATGGTTTCCATCAACAAAACAAGCCAAACCAGTGAAGATAATTTAAACACTTACCCTCCTGATGGATGATGCCTGTGGCCTCCGCTGGTAGCAGGAGAACCTGGACTGGTGTAATTGTGCCTCTCTGTGCCACCCGTCTGTTGAGACCCTTGGCTCTGATGGACACCACACTTTACAGACATAGCACTGGCCTGCACAGAAAAAAAAGGAACCATGAAATGAAAGCCATAGCAATGCTGCGATGTTCAATAGTCACACCTTCATGGGAGGCAAACTGCCTAATATGGTTATTTCAAAAGACTGCAAGAATTAACTTATTTGATGAATGTTTAATTATTACAATACGAGCATACATTTTGAGAATGGAGACTCAAAGGACTGTTAAATGTAAATTGCAGTATGCATATCTTAATTCAATCAAAATAATAACATCCTTTGCAGACGGCTAAATCCATATTCTTCAACTTTTCTGCTCCAAAATATTAATGTTTTCTTCTTTTGATCAGAGCACACGCATTGTTATTTGCAGATGTAAAAAAAAATGTCTATGAAAACAACACACTGGCACATTAGGGCTGCAAATAGTTTTTTTGATATTGATCATATCTAAAAACGATATAAAAAAGTATTATTGATTTGCCATACATATGATCATGTCAAATGAGGTCTGCAAAGGATAGAGATTATAAGATAAAAGGTCATGTACAAGTTCAAAAAACAAGTGGAGATACGGCACAGGGACACAATAGGAAAACATGGCAGTATGCATACCTAGGTATACCTTTTTGAAAGCAGACCACGATCAAAATGATGAAATACAAGCAGACCATGGTAGGTTGGAGTGTTTTGGAAAGGTTAATTGGATAATCAAAAACTACCTATCAGATGCAAAGAAAATGTATTTTAAGCAATGCTGTGACTTATGGGTCAGACATATTGACATTAACAAAGAAGTTGAAAACTAAAAAATGTGCCAAGAGGTGAAGTGAGATGCATGCTTTGAATTACACTGACAGATACAGAACATTTATTAGAGAGCATACACAGGTTAAAGATATCAATTTGATTGTTAAAGGGCTTAGGCAGAACACACCACTATTAAGGAATGAAGAGTGCTCCATAACATAACAATTTGTGAAGTTATTTCCATGTATTTTATCCAGAATAGGTGGCACACACATTTATGGCCTGCATAGTGTAAAATGGCAACTGTTGGTTGTATTTTTTTCCTATTATCACCTGTTAGATGTGCAATATTCCTTAAGGACCCTGGTACTCATTCTCTGCAAGATGAAATTAATTTGTCTTTTGTTTTTCTTGCTCCTGTGAATCACGCACCAAATATATCCGTTGTATAATAGCTGGGAAACTGGCTAAACAGAATCATCTATTCATTTGATAGTGCCTCTTGGAGCTCAATGGAAAAACAGTCACAAAGATGCATGTGTCCCACCTTTGACTGCGCAGAGCTGTGACTGTGAGGTGTGGTGGCATGGGCCCTGGTCTGGCTTCCACTCGTCTGAGGTGTTGCCACCCGTGGGGAGATGTGGGAACGAGGAGAGGACACGTCCGATGTTTGGGATGCAGGCGATTGGCTCTGCTGGTGAGCTGAATACGAGGGACAGGGCATCGGAGCAAGGAAATAATGATTAACATCACAAGGAAACTAGCCTTACAGGATGGGCATTATATTTGACATTCCATTTAATAAGCTGGATATTTCACCAATTGTGCTATCGATATCATCGTATGAGATGGAGACATACCCACTCTGTTAAATAACTACAGGTAAGAGGTTCATGTAGCACACCGGGCAATACCATTGGAAGACACTGGATCACCACTCCCAGAATCTCGTCACGAACCATGATTCACCACAGCCACTCGACAATACTTTGTCATGCTGGGCAGGGTGACAATACATGTAAATCGTAAAGTTCTAATCTGTAAGCTCCAGAAACCCTATTTTTGATCTTAATAGAGGGTGATAAATCTAGAGAAGTATCATTTTATTCAAGCAATAACATACCTATTGAAATACAGCTGCAGATAACAACATGCGCACACCAGTACACTCTACAAACAGGAACATCGCTTTCTGGCCGACAAATGTTCGATAATATAAAGAAAACAAACGCAATTTATTTCATATGGTATCATTACACTGAGACAGAATAACTTTTCAGTTGGTTTACCTTGGTGTGCTGCCTGCACTGCTTGGGGTAGTAGCGTTGGGGCTGCTGCAAGCAGGATTTTGGAAAGTGTTTGAGTGAAAGCTGTAAAATATGGGAAGGGGGCATAGAACATTACTTTGACTTTCAGACTCATAACTACAGGATATATAATAGATTACATAATCGTTTCCGTTCATATTGATTGTTGTTGTACGCATCCAATTGTTCCTAGCATCCATGTGTGTATGTAATGCATTTTGGAAAATAAATATACAGTAAAACCTTGGATTGTGAGTAACTTGGTCTGCGAGTGTTTTGCAAGACGAGCACACATTTAAAACAAATATTAATTTGATAAACGAGCGAGGTTTTGCAATACGAGTAGTACGTATACGCTGTCTGCCAAGCTTCATGTGATCACAACTGATATACGAGTGCTTTGATAAAGGAGTGCTTTGGATTACAAACATGTTTCCGGAACGAATTATGCTCACAATCCAAGGTTTTACTGTATAAGGGAAATGTGTGAATGTGTGTCTGTTCGAAAAGTTTAACATACTTTCCAACATGCAACAAACTTGAAATTTGGCATGTGGCTAGCTTCCAGACTGTACACAATGCAAAAAGTATAATCCAGATGTACCAACTTTGGTAAAACACCGTCTTACCAACACATACTTCACCTGGAATGGTACATTCTACAAACAAAAGGAGGGAACCACAATGGGTTCTCTCCCTTATCGCCAGTGGTAGCGAATGTTTTCATGGAGAAATTTGAGACAGATGCCATCCAGACATCCACCCTACGTCCTTCCTTGTGGAAGAGACACGTAGATGACACGTTCATCATCTGGCCACATGGCCTGCCAGCACTGAACCAATTTCTCAACCACATCAATTCCATACACCCATCTATCAAATTCTCCATGGAAGCTACCATTCCTGGATATTTTGATCGAGAAGAGACCTGATGGCTCGTTGGGACATTCGGTCTACAGGAAAGCCACCCACACGGATGCCTATCTAAAGCCTGACTCCCACCACCATCCAGCCCAGAAGAATTCCCTCATCAAAACACTACACCATAGGGCCCGTTGTATCTCCGACCAGCACCACCGAGCCAGTGAGTTGGAGCACGTACACCAAGCCCTCAGGATGAACGGATACTCGAACCGTACAATTAGCAAAGCTGTCTCCCCAGCCATGCGGAGACAACCTTCTGAGGATCCAACCAAAACCATCACTTTACCGTACATAGCAGGGGTTACCAAAAAGATTTACAAAATCTTAAACAAACACAAGATCCAGGTTCGTTTCAACACAGTACACAAAATCTGTGATTTAATCCCATCTGTAAAGGATGTGATTCCAGACATGCAATACCCTGGTGTCTACAAACTGAGTTGTGGTTGCGGCAGCAGTTACATTGGGGAAACGAAGCGACATGTCTCGGACCGCAGTTCGTGAACACAAGGCAGATCTGAAACACGGTAGGACTAATACGCCGTTGCCGATCATTGTTTTAACGCTGTGGGCTCGCACGAATTTTTTTTTTCCAAGACGGTGGTACTCTGCAAACCTCCTGGCTCCCTTCAGAGATTTGTTCATGAAGCCATCCAGATATATAAACAGACACAACCTTCAACCGAGAAGATGGGTACAAACTGAGCAATCATTGGAAGGATCCTATTAACCAGGTAAAGTCTTAACTGACTGTGATGCTTCCATCCTACCTGCCTATGTCAGCTGTTATTTCCGACTCTGTGTCTCTCTCTCTCTATGCCTTTCTCTTAGATCTCTCTTGCTCACATGTCCTTTGCATTACACTCTCATGCCTTTGGATTGTACTCTCATGCTCACATGTTCTTTGGATTGCACTCTCATACTCACATGCCCTTTGGATTGCACCCGTTGGGTTGAACTCCCTCGTCGATGAGGCCGCTCTCCTCCTATCTTACAGCTACATACTAATTTCTCACATTAACATCACTAGCCCCGGCCACTTCTTTATGACCCTTGGGCTACACCCATTTCAAACCTTTTAAAACAGTCTGCCTCAGCAGCAGACCATGCTTTCCCACCTGATGACGGAACGCTTGTGTTGCGTCCAAACGTCGTGATTTATTTTATTTTATACCTATGTGACTTTACCGAAAGAACCAAAGACTATGAAAATAGACTTTTATATTTTGGGGGGCGGGGGGAGGCGCAATAATGGATATATTTTGCACGGCAAGTGAGCGGTGACGTCACATCTGTGATGTCACCCGCATGCGGCAGTGTTACGCAGTGTGCCTGCTGACGTCACACATCCCTCCCCACCCTCCACGTCGGCGTGTATTAATCCAAGACAAGAATCCAAGTCTCGGGCAAAGCCGGGAAGTAAAGCTAGTCATACAATAAATGTCAGTTTATTATTACTCTCGTTTTTCCGTATTGTAATAGTGATGTAGCCATTGTATTACTATTGCTCAAAGCATTGTCGCAGTTGATGCACTAAAAAAATGGTATCAGTTGCTGGAATCTGTAGTGCATCCTCATGACATTTGTTACCAGAGGACGTCTAGTTTTGTTGCCTTTGGCGTCATCTTGTCTAACACCGTTTTGAAACTAGGCTAAAAAGAAAGCCGTCTCTGGTGTGGACCAATCAGTTTCAAAGGCAATGCATATATTAACAGAGGACGTTTTTTGTTTGCATTCTGACCACAAGTATTGTGGTTAATGCAGACATGATTCCTTGTAAAAGGTTTCAGTTTGGTGTTTTAACATTTTAACACCTGTTTTGTTGCCGGGAAAAAGGGGAAAACCTATTCCCATATTTTGGTACTGGCAAAGGAGGTCCCATGATGTAGATGCTCACCCAAGCCTTCATTACTCTGATAATGCTTGTCTTTGTGCTGTACGCCTTTTGGCGTCCTCTGGCCTAACAAAGTTCAGTTTGGTGTTTTAACATCTTAACACCTATACTCTTTGGTTCTTTCGGTAAAGTCATGTAGGTAGAAAAATAAAATAAAAATAAAATATATATCACGACGTTTCGATCGCAACACAAGCGGTCGTCCTTAGGCGGAAAAAATAATCCAGCAGTGGAATTGCTGAAACAGCGAGAGAGCTGTTACAAGGTTAGATTTTTGGCGATGGGCAAGCAAGCAGGGTCCGAGAGCTGGAAAGGAATTCCATCCACGGACGCAAGCACGTCAGTTGTGTTAATGGGAGAGATTAGGGAGAGAGATTATCATGAATGAGATTTTGTCGCCGCATAAGAGTATCATCCCCGCATACGCGCACAACAGCAGTGTTAATGAGAGATTAGCACCATGAGAGTGCTATCCAAAGGACATGTGAGCATGAGAGGTGCAATCCAAACGGCATGTGAGCATGAGAGTGCAATCCAAAGGGCATGTGAGCATGAGAGTGCAATCCAAAGGACATGTGAGCATGAGAGTGCAATCCAAAGGACATGTGAGAGATCTAAGAGAGAGGCATAGAGAGAGAGACACACAGCCGGAAATAACAGCTGATATGGCAGGTAGGATGGAAACACTACAGTCAGTTAAGACTTGACCTGGTTAATAACGTCCTTCCAATGATTGCTCAGTTTGTACCCATCTTCTCGGTTGAAGTTGTGTCTGTGTTTATATATCTGGATGGCTTCATGAACAAATCTTTTCTACCTACGTGACTTTACCGAAAGAACCATGTGAGTGCTCGCTTATTCTGTTGAGCGCATACTGGTGTACACTGGGGCTTACAAGTTCTTTATCCATGTTGTACTTTTTCATTCTTAACAAAGATTGTGCATAATGCTTACTAACATAGTATGCATATTATGCTTACTAGCATAGTATGGACTAGTGCTTACTAACTGATCTTACTACATCACTTGCTAATGTTACAAGCAGATTATAAAAATTGATACTTTTACCGTAGTTATTTCTGCTACTTAATACAATAGTTAATGATTACTACAGTGCATACTATTGTGTGCATTTGTGCTTACTACTTCTAATTGCAGTGAGCTAGAGTATCTTAGTGGTATAGACTACTGAATATTTCTGAGAATGGGGTTCATTTATTGCGTACAGGCATGTCTTTTACTTATTAGTATTTTGGGGGAAAAGAACACTGCACACATGCTTCATCATTATGAAATACCCAGCTGCGTATACATGCACTAGCAGGTGATGGCATCATGTGTCATGTCTGCTGCACTGCTACAAGTGGTACCAGGTATTCCACTCTCCAATGTGCACCTCTCCAGGGAGGGATGTGAAGTGCAACTAAAAACGTAGAACCAATTCTTAAAGTTTGCTGCGTAACTTTTGCGGTGTACGCACACATTAGTGGTTTTCATGGTGAACTGGAAAAGGTCATTGGAACAGCACTACCGTGTGTAGAGATTGTGAAGATTATCATTGGGCTCAAATTACATCCTTTAAGATGTCAAAGTTACATAACCAATACACTACACTCTTTGCAGTGTAACCAATACACTACAGCGAAAAAGAGTTGTGTGATCAGCATGCATCATACCTGCCAAAGGGACACTCCAGACATAGCCCAGATAAATTGCAGTTAAAAGACACTTTGAATTGTGTTAATATGCTCATGCTTAACAGCCTAAACTCACGATTGATCAACAACATCCTTGCTAGTTCATATTAATATGTACAGGCCTTTTTGTCGATCCACTGTTCAGCTCATGGGAGATTATTTGATCAAACTTCACCATGCTGGTCAGTGTGGGTTGAAGTCGGGGACCAAGAAGTATAGCAAAATAATTTTCTGAACAGCCCCTCCCCCTAGCACCGTGTAGCCCTGCAGCCCTATGACAAGCTATTTGTGAATGGTGGTCATCCACGCAAACACTATCCAGTGTTAACTCTGCTTAGCTTGCAAGATCTGATGAGATCAGGGTGCATTACATGTGATTTCGTCAAAGGCTTCAATATACGAACAATTAGGGCTGTTAGTCCAGTTTGGGAGTACAACCATCAGGCCAAGTGTGACAATAGAACTGGTTATTTATCAAAGGAAGTGCCGTAAATACCAAACATCTATTTCTTTATCAGTACAGGTGTCCAAAGGTTTGATGTATTTGAAAGAATGTGCTCCAAAACACTGGGCATCCAAACTTTGAAAAGGATGTACTCATTCTATAATTGGCTCTTACAAGGACAAATATAAATATTAATTGAAAAACATGACTTGCAGTGTGGAAACTAGCATTCTTTTCATGGCAGTCGAATATTTACTCAGACTTTACATTTTTATACAATATAGGCTGCTGGTTAACGTGATAGTCATTAAGTCATACAACCTGTGGCCAAAACAGATGATTTGCTTTAAAATGAAAATTAAATATTCAGCTCATGGATTAAAATATATTCTTATACTCATGATAAATGCATCAAATTTAGTGTAAGAATATATATTTGGTTATGTGTATATAGTGCATCGGTGATGTAGTGAGTAGATTGTGCTATGAAGCCTGAGACCCACGTTTCATATTCAGCCACCACCCATATCAGTGGCGAGTGATAACTGAACCAGTTCTACCCCACCCCCTTCACTAACCAGCAATGGACTAGAATAGCGGAGAATGGTCAACCAACTTCCATGACCAATATATTAGGCAAGGCTATTAATGGCCTGGCCTGTCAGCTGTTCTTTTAATGCAGTAAATGATGACCTAGCTGAGACAAATTAACTCACTACAATTGAGTACTAGGATAATTCAAGGGTTGCCCCCTCTGGATTCAAACTCAGGATATTGCCAATGCCGATTCGGTTCACTGACATGAGCATTGTCCTCCAGACGGCCGAGGCTACTACACGTATCACTGATGGATGTCACAGATGTTATGCCGGGCGTACTACATGCTTTGGATACCTTCTTGGAGGCGCTCAAGGCTCGGGTTGATCTGGGGAGAGGTGTGCAGGATCTGTCGCAGCACTGCAGGGTCTTGGCTTGGCAGGGAGGGCATCGTGGCTGAAGTAGGTGTGACAGGCGTCAACCGTGAGGTGGAGGATGTGGAGGGGGAAGGGGTGGCACTGGCTGTTGAGGCCCTGTCTGTGGGAGCGTCTGCACCTACACAGCAGTGCACGCAGGCACAAAGAGAAGGATATGATCAGCAACTGATATCCTAATAAAAATCCTCACATTCCATTCCCCTTTTTTATTTCTTGCATGTAAAACTGATCTATTACCAACAACTCAAACAATGGTTACACTAACCAAACTGTAAAGTAAAAATTATAAGCCAATCACTCAAAGGCAAAATTATGTACTGCTCACCTGAATGGCCCAGTGGTCATCTCCTGTTCTCTGCTCTAAGCCAGTTGTGTAAATTACACATTACTATAGTAGGGGTGATTATATCCAGAGAACAACCAATGCCAAACTCCCATAGAGTTTCTCATGTTATTGACGAGTAAAATGCAGGGAGCATTAACTTACAAATCAGATATAAACATACAACTTCCTGCTTGCAAGCTGCATATTCTAACCAATGTGTAATCCAGAATAATAATAAAGTATTGGGAGTTTTAGTTTACTTTTGATTTTTGAACTTCCTCTTCAACTTTTAATATCCATTTCCTATATTCTTTTTTTATTGGTGTTATCAATCTTCATGTCCCTGCTGGCTGTGAATTCTTATATATGCTTGCAGTGACATTTCTTATAAAAATTCTAAACCTTCCAATCATCCTCTTGTACTAGTCACCCATTATGTTAGTGTTCTGTCATCAATTAGAGATTGGTTAATGTCATAACACTGGTCAACAAAAACAATTCTGGCCTGGACTTTTGCAGCTGTTATAGACAAATTTCAGGGTGCTGATTCCAAATCTGATCTCAGATTTGCTCCATCACATCTCATTTTTATGCTATCGGCATACCCCATTTTCATTGATTTTACCCGAAATTAACTCTGACACTTATGATTGCAAGTTGTTGCGAGTCAGTGACTGCTTTAGTGTTAAAATATGGTGCTGTATTTTTAGGATAGTGTTTATATAATTTTAAGTAGATATCCACATTTATTTAATATTTTTCTTCTGCAGTTTTTATTGAAAATGCAATATTTGATATCTCAAAAACCTGATGTGATAGACATAACCTGATGCCAGATTTGGAATCAGCACCCCAAAATTACTTTAAAACCATTGGAATACCTTATGCCAGAAAAAGTGTGTTGACCAGTGTAATTGATCTATTTTCATATCGTCAGGGCTTGTTGTTGGAGTAAATATGTTAGTCTTCAAACTGCAGATGATAGCTTCTAAATGTTAGGTAGAAAATGTATTCAATGATCTCCTGAATCCTGAAACTGTTTTGATTCTCAGCAGGAATAAACATCTCACTCTTTGATAACGAGTCAACTTTCAGAGAGAAAAAGTTGCAAATTTTGTTTAATGTAATAAGTTCTCGCATTACCTTCTGTCCTCAGTCAATGTAATAAATTGTTTCTCAATTCTGTCTCCAGTTCAACAAGGTTTGATTCTTCAGTCTGATCTTAACCAAATTACATAAAATACTAATCTAACTCCTAAGACCAAAAATATCACAGCCATAACTTGCACACAACTTTCGATTTAAAGCTTTCGTGACTGCAGGGATTCATCTTCTTGTTTCTTTCGGTAAAGTCACGTAGAAGGGAAGTAATAAAATAATAAAAATAAAACATAATAAAACAATTCTCACTATATTTACTTCCCTTCTACGTGACTTTACCGAAAGAAACAAGAAGTTGCACACAACTCTAACAAAGAATACAATAGCAGAGATTACGACAAAATATTCCAATAACTTATTGCAAGTCTTTTTACAATTCGTCCAATATTACAGGACTCAACTGTGAAACCGGTTAATGTTAACAAGATAATGATTAAATTTACTGTTCACGTATAATACTTTGAAAATACCTTTTAATGCTTACTTTTTAAACCAGACATTAATCATGCCACAACAATAAATTGCAATACACTAGGTTATGTAGGTTTTTTGCAACGCGCAGTGGACGATACCCTTTTTCTCTGGCCTCTGGCCTGTGGATGAGCCTGCAGGATGTGGCTTTGTGAGAGTGTTGGCTCCATTAGAATCATTCTGCTTCTTGTGGTGCTGCTGATGCTGTTGTTGCTGTTGCTCAGGCAGGTTAAATGGGCTGCTCGGCACAGGACTCGGTGTACAATTGGGAAGCGATGAGCCTGGCTTGACGCCGAGGGATGCTTGCTGCTGGAGTGGAGTGCTGCTTGACGTCCCACTGCCCGGCGCTTCAGTACGGGGCAGCCTGTAGTCCCTGTCGTTGTGTTTGCTCGTCTGTGACAAGACGGTTTGTGCGAGCACGCTGCCCACCTCACTTGAATGCTTGTCTTCTGTGAATAGAGTTCAAGAGAACATCTACACTGAGTGGCTGTTAGAGGAAGCAAAGACTAATTCTGGACACAAGCAACTTTCTTTTTAAAAGTCCAATGCTCCTTCACAAATTGTCTATACAGCAATACCTCTGTTAACGAATGCTCTGAGAACGAAGATCCTTTGTAACAAAATCGGCAATGAAGCGCCAATTCGCTCCCCTATTTTTGCAAAAGAAAAATCTTGAGCAATCATGTTAAACGATTCAAAAGAATAAAAATGTAAACCGCTGCGCACCATGTAAACACAACCAAGTCGGGTTTAGATTTAAAGCTTTCGTGACTGCAGGGATTCATCTTCTTGGTTCTTTCGGTAAAGTCACGTAGAAGGGAAATAATAAAATAATAAAAATAAAACATAACAAAATAAAATTCTCACGACGTTTCGGCTACAACGCAAGCAGCCGTCCTCAGGTGAAGAACAGGACTGTCGGAAAGTTTCGGACACTGTCTTTCCGACAGCCCTGTTTCTTCACCTGAAGACGGCTGCTTGCGTTGTGGCCGAAACATCGTGAGAATTGTATTTTATTATGTTTTATTTGTATTATTTCCCTTCTACGTGACTTTACCAAAAGAACCAAGCAGACAAGTCGGGTTTGTTTACATTATCAGCAGCAATCAGCGAAGAATATCCCTCAATTGGCCCAATGAGAGGCGCGCTACAACAAGTCTTCCCTCTCCTGCATGGCATTGCTCGAGCTCCTCACATCCCACCACTGCCAATTCGGAGCAGGCCTGCAATAGGAGCTAAAGCAGCTGTGGTAACAAAGTGCTAGCCCCGAGAGATGTCAAGGTGAGTGTTATTTTTTTATCTTATTTAATGTACTTCAATAGATATGTATTTGTTAGGCATATTTCATATTTTCACTCACATTTTCACCTTATTTTTGTTGTATTTGTTTTACTATTGTACTGCCCCCTGCTCAGAAGCACTGGAGCCCTTGCGTTGCCATTGAAAAGTCGTAGTTTTTTGTTACTTTCTTTGAACTAATCGATGTGACTATACCGAAAGACCCAAATAATATGAATTCCTGCAGTCACGAAAGCTTTAAGTCAAAATTTAAGCAACGAACCCACTTACTGTACTGCAATATCGTGCTCATTAAACACAAAGTGCTAGCCACAAATGAACCATAATACTTGCTGATCTCGTGAAGGAGCATGAACCATCAGGCAAACTCCGGTCATCCTTGCAGCGGCTTTTGGCTAACCATCGAATAGAAAAACGGTCACTGCATTGTGCGCTTTGAGATGTGCTTCTGCGGCCGTCTGGGATGTTCTTCTTCCAATATTAGGGAGCCACTGGAGCTATATACTTTTAAATCTAAACTGAAAGCCCATTTTTTTAGAACTGCTCTATTTAGTATGTTCTTCCCCCACACCTGATCAGCAAGGTTGGCTACGTGCAGTGCAAAAGAAGTTCACGATTCATACGTACCCAAGTTACTTTTTAACATAACATATGGTAATCTCTCCGTGACTCATCTACCCTGGCACAAATTACATTACAGCCTCTTGTGGACACAAGCGCAATGTGAACAGATACATTCAAATGTCTTAATTTAGACAATTAAGTATTTTAGAACATCTTCTTGGTTCTTTCGGTAAAGTCACGTAGAAGGGAAGTAATAAAATAATACAAATAAAACATAATAAAATAATTCTCACGACGTTTCGGCCACAACGCAAGCAGCCGTCCTCAGGTGAAAACCAGGTCCGTCGAACAGCTTAAGAAATATGTTTATCACGCGTGCTACAATTTCAGTTTCAATTGTGAATTGTTTGTACCACTTTTTGATTTAAAGCTTTTGTGACTGCAGGGATTCATCTTCTTGGTTCTTTCGGTAAAGTCACGTGACATTACCGAAAGAACCAAGAAGATGTTTGTACCACTATTTATAGGATTTTAACATGGGTTTTACTTGCTGAACTTTTTCATGGAGCCTTAGTGAAAATATATTTTACTTTTTAAACAAATTAATGTTGAACTGTGGCCTTCCCCCTGACATAGATCTCACATTAGAAACCAACTAAAACATCAACCCATCAATGTAGCATATGCTCACTCCACAAACATACATCTAAATGGAATAGCATTATAAAACATTATACACAGTTTAACATTTTTTCAAGGTCTTCCATGTCAACATATGCACCATTGTTGTGATTACTTATATGTTACATTAAATTAATATACTTATGGCTCATGTGCTTTTTATCAATTAAATTCACATGAAACATTTCTAATTCCATAGCAGCTTAACATTTGGCGGATCACCAAAGAGCACTCTCCTGTAATGCAAAAAAGTAATATCAATGAATGTTACTTGAAAAACTGTTTGATTATTGGACATCAGCATCAAGTCTGCATTAACCACACGCACTTGTGTTTGCCTTTTGGCGTTCTCTGGTCTGACAATGGTGAGACTAGGCCCTAAAGAAGGCTGTCTCTGGTGGAGACCAATCAGTTTCAAACAATGCATATATTATCAAAGCATGTTTGTTTAAATGTTCACCACAAGTAGTGTGATGAATGCAGATTTTATTCCTTCAAAAAAGGTATCTATTTGGTGTTCTAACATCTTGATACCTGTTGTATTGCCCGAAAGGGTAAAACCTATTATTTTCATACTTTGATAATGGCAAAAAAGGTCCCACAATATCATCAATGTTTATCCACTGTTGGATGAACGCCTCCGCACACTATTGCTATTCCTCATGGTCCAGTGATGCCAAATGCATCTCACTCATGTAAATTAACAGATCCCATCACATCACCTGCAGTGGTCAATCTTAGGCCTATTCACGATTTTCACTGCCATTCCATCAACCGTCTCATCCATTGCCATCATCTCTTCTGTGCTGCCCAAACCCACTTAACATTTCTTAACAGACAGTATCATGATCGATTTGCATTTTTCTCCTAATCCATGCGCTCCTTTGATGTCGACAAATATCATTTTCATCTCGATTTAAAGCATTCATGACTTCAGGAATCCATACTCTTTGATTCTTTCGGTAAAGTAACGTAGGCAGAAAAATAATAAGAAATCACGACGTTTCGATCGCAACACGAACAATCGTCATCAGGTAGAAAGATACAGCAGTAGAACTGCTGAACAAGAAGTATATAATTTTGTAAATGTATCGCTCCATGATTCTTTGCACACGTTTTAGTGTTGTCAGTTGCCACATTTCTGACGTATGTCACAACTGGAAATATACTCCGATTGAATGCATTATTCTTCAGGCACATTAGTATGTTGTATTTTATTAACGCATTCAAATTTCCAAATGTGTTTTATCTTGCTCTTCTTCACTACTTAATATCAATATTTTTATCATGTGGTATCAATAATTGCCCTTGCAATACATTTTGATGTTCTCAAGCTGTCCAACATTTTATTTTATTTGGCACCTTTGCAGACCCTGAATTTTGCTTTGCTCATATGGTTGTCAAACTTTGCAGCCTTCTTTTAGAATTTTCAATTATTTCCTGTAAGTTGTTTATGCTTCTATATAAAAATGTGTTTTATAAAGTATCTTATCTTATGTTGCTTTGAATAATCTTAGTGAGACCAGAAAAATCTACAATAGTGATACTGCATGAAGATGGCACGAAAATACACAGCATATTAACTGTCCCCATGTTACCATAGCTATCCCAAAAAATTGTAAAATAGACAAATCACAACATTGTACTGTCATCTCATTATAAGTAGCTTCGTACAGAATTTCTATACAAAATATACTCTGCATAACATGTTTCTGTGTATTTTTTGTGTGCAACCTCTGGTTTTAAATATTTTAATCAGAACTTCACAAGATAATTTCACATGCACATTAAAACATGACAGCAATCTCACCCAGACAAGATCCGTGCCCATTTATGAAAGTTTCACCAGGGGCTCAATTACAGGATCTAAAGAGAAACTGACTCGGTACTTTAAAATGGGTGTAAATCCCACCAGCCATGGAGCATAATTTGCCATTTCACACTTTACTGCTGAGAATCGTCCTCCTTTTTCTCAAATCCCCCTTTGGAAATCAGATTTGAAACTACGATCACCTTGCTAAAAATACAACGCAATTATTACATCGATATAGCTCTATAAACAAAACAAAAAAGAGTATTAAAGATTGGAGATCAAAATGCAATGCAAAATGCACTATTGACAGTAACACGTGTACACAATATTGGTTTAAAGAGGGTATATTATTTTGCCTTTATTCATTAGCAGCATAGTGTTGTGTATTATTTATAACATGTTAAAATGACAATTTAAAAGTCAGACCACTCAGCTCATGCCGTTGGGATTCTGGGTTTAAATTCACAGTTATATGATTAAAATTGGCTCTTAACTGTAACAAGGTGATGGTCTCTGATGAGTCACCAATAAAATGCAGAAAAGCACATTACTTTAATATACTTTTTTCCTTAAACTTGGCTGATGCCATGTTGAAAAAAAAACATTGGTTTAATCAGAATGTGATAGAATAATCTTGGCATAAATGGAATATAACAAGGTATGCCCCGAGTGTGGGTAAAAAAGGGTCTATTAAAGAGACTTCAATAGTGTTTCTGTCAAAACATCGGGAGGAGAAATTCTTTGAAAACAGGGTAGTGCCCCAAACAGAGAGTTCTGAATAGAATTTCATCGCCTGATCACATTACATTCATAGTCCAATCAAAGTATAACCGAGGGGTGGGGAGGCAAAAAAGCACAATTTCTACCAGTGTATTACAAATTAATGCTACTCTAATTTGATTTCTGTTAAATGTGCTTGTATTTGCTTTGCAGACATACATTTTTAGACATCTCCTCCTCTCACCTAGTTAAGTATTCATGAACAATAAAGGTGAACGTTACATAGTTCTGCACAAATTATTTGTGCGAATGCATTTGCTTCAAATTAATTAACTTCTTATTTCAAGTGAGCCATTGCCTAATTCTGCACGGAAACTCCTTGTAGCTGCACATACAGGTTTCATCAAAATCTGAGACAAGCAGGCACGGAAGAATGTCCCATGTTGCAAATTATACTACATTTGGGAGGATTGCAATAATGATGGCAACAATGGGCTGTATAGTCTTGTTTGTCCATCGTGTGCTGTGTGGATGTTACACCCAGGGGGATATGGGGCAGGCTAACACATGTATTTAAAAAAAATAACGGTGGGAAATGGTTGAGATAAAATACAAAATTGTACATACCTGTTTGTAACAGAAATACAAAACTTCGTAATCTAAAACTAACTGCAAACTAGTCCCGTTGCTCAGAATTACATGCCACATAATGCATAATGGTACATTTACAGTCAGATTTGCAACGTGTGGCACTCAAGTATTTCAGTTAACGAGCACATCACATGGAATGCTAACCTGCAAAGCGGTTGGAGGAATTGCTCTGCACAGCTGTCTGCATGGCTTCCCTCCTGTAGTCCCTGTCTTTAGGGAAACTGTTTGCAACAATTCGGTTTGCAGCCTCCTTTTGCCGTTGTTCTCTGCGCACCACAGATATATTCGGTTGGACATTACAATACATCAATTCACAGTATATTATCATTCACGCTAATGTAGTAAAATCAAAGAGTAATGTCAGAAAAAACAATGCAGTTTCAAGCTAAAAAGTGAAGGTGTTTACTTCTGATGTAAGATTCATCCTGTTTCTGATAAAATCATTCGTAAATATATGCACTTCAACATAGATACCAAAACATTAAAAAGTGTTTCACATTCTGGTAGAGTAACAATATATTTAACGTTTTAAAAACAAATCATGGCGATAAAGATGCAAAAACAAGTTTGCATTTGTATTAAAATAGTTTACATGTTTGTAAATTACTGCAAATAACCAATACAGGATTACAATAGTTCTGTCAATAACAAATTGCGGATATAAAAAGTGTGAATCTTCACTCACCTTTCCACCCATTCTTTGGGTTTCTCCCACTGAGAGACCTCTGTTCTGCAGTTGTAATAGTACTTTTTCCCAGAAGAGCTAATGTGTTCTGACCAATCATCAGCAGGGTCATGTGGCTGCAAGACAGGATTAAAACAATCACAACATAAATTCGGTGGAGTATGCAAAGATGCTTTAACTTCCTCAAGCACCATTGTTGCGAGTGACTGCCCATTTAAGAATGCCTTACTACTGAAATTAATGGTACATGTAGCAAGTACTTCAGGTTCTACACCAACAAAAGTCAACATTATTATTGCATATTGATCAACTCTACCATTATATTAAACATAATACAAAGCACAGCAAGGCATCTTTGAGCCTATCCATTTAATCACACACATGATATTCCAAGACATAAACTTATTTGCTGTGTATTTAAGTTGAAAGTCAGAAGAATTGCTGAAGAGTGCAAATGTTGCAATGACTTCAACGGTTGGATTGTCAGTAAATGATACATCTATCATGGAATAATTGAATAATAAAGTTCAGTTCAACCAAGGAATGAAACAAATCTGGCAGGATGTCCGAAGAGATGGAGTGCAGGTGCTAGGTGGATTATTACATCGCCGGATCGTGAGAGGTGGCGGCGGCTTGGGGAGGCCTTCATCCAGCCGTGGATTGACCATGGCTGATGATGATGAGAGTTCAGTTAATATACGCTGTTTGTTAATTGTAATAGAACAGTAAAACAGTCAAGATAGCCTGCCTTATGCATACTGAGCTACACATGTAACATAGATAAAGACATAGTTTAAAACGGAATATGTTGTCAATTGCAAACCAAGTATTTAACCAACATTTATAATGATTTAATGCCACTGTGTTATGTTGTGGAATGTATAATGGACTCACTTAATTGAAGGTGAATGGCCTTAAAATTGTTAGTGGCTCGAATGTAAACATGTGGAGTTGGATTGTTCCTCTAATATTACTGGCAGCTCTGACAGTGACAAATCAACACTTACTTGTGTAGCTGGGTTCTTATGTTGTTCAGAACCATGTGAATTTGATATAGGGCGAGCAGAATGGTTTTGAGAGCTTCCATCAACAGCATCACCAGATACTAGCAGCACAACATAGGAACAAAAAACAGCATTGCCAAATGTGAACACTGGTCTAAAATTTGTTATATTCAGTGCACCTCATTAAGAACACACAATACAACTCTATGTCACAGTATATTCCTGCTGGAAAGTATTGTAAAATGTTACACTGTACTGCACTTAAGAACAATGTAGTGAAAATCACGTGATGTAAATTTTTTCTTAATATTTTCAGAAACATTACACGTCTTCATATACCTAATGTAACTTTCCACCAGTTTATCTTGCGCCATATGTAACTATCTGTAGATCTAACAGTAGGACATGCATGCAGGTGCAGGCTGTCCTGGAAGTTACAGAATAATTAAAGCGAATTTAAGTACTGTTCCTGAAAAAAGTATAGGCTTTACCTTTTCTGGCAAAATACAGGTGTTAAGATCATCAAACACCAAATAGACACCTATTGCAAGGCATTAAGTCTGCATTGACCACAAATGGTCCCATAAATACTACATGAATCTTGCAGATTCATGGAAAGCAGTAGTGAACATTATATCCTGATCACAAACAACCGCTTAACCTTTTCTGAAAAAGACGAGGCATTCCTTAATATATCAACTGAAACCCAAGTCTATGAAGAGATGTGAGTATGGTCTGATTGGATACAACTGCCGAAAACAGTGGCAGACTCCGTTTCTGTCCTGGCATCTGCAGGGATAGTAGTGACTTACATGCATGTTAGTTTTTTAAAGGGTAGTGAAATACAGATTAAAATACACTTTTAATGAAAAGGAAATAATGTTTAAGTTGTCCAACAAGACAACTGTACATGTACAAATCTTGTAATTAAATTATGAATGCATACTTGTACGCTTTCATAAACATATTTAATGTGGTCAGTTAGGAATGAGTCCACCTATATCTGGAACATGAATTTCAGACCAACATTTTTAAATGACAGAAAATCCGTGTCATGACTTGTACTGACAGCATTTATTTTTGTTGCCCCTCAACCTCACTCTCCAAACATTTTCAAGAGGGTCTTGCTTTTTGATGTTTGGTAATTCAAAATGAGTGTTTTTACGTGGATAACTCTGTGTGGTTCACAACCCCACCTCCATTGTGCTCGGCTACAAGCATGCATTGGCCGCAAGACATTTTGATGACTGTTAGTGGTTCTTGCTTAGAAATGAGCAAAAAACACAGCAGTAATGTGGGCACACCTCTGCACTTGTCTTTGGGCTTTGACTGCAGGGAGTTGGTCTTCTGCTCCCGGACATCAGGACTGCTTGACTTGCGAGGAATCTTGCTTGCTGGAGATGCATCTCTTGAGTCCCGCATTTTGTCATTACGACTGTCACCGTCACCCTCAGTCTTTGCTGGGTACTTATTGACACTCTGCAATTATAAACACAATTTTGTGGAAAATTAGCTGCATGCCAGCATGTAATAAAGAGATGTAAAACATTTCAACAATGTAAATTGGTGAAAACTGTAAAATGTTAAGGCAAATGAATACACTTTGCAGTCATAGCAGAGCACAAAGTGATAAGGTGAGGAAAAGCAAAACAAATATTTTCTACGTGTAAATTTGCAAATAAATTATATGTGATAAAAACGTGAATGTGAGAATAAGAGTGAATTAGTCATTCATTCACCAAGGGGCTATGGATATGGTAATTTAAATGTTAACCAAAGTATGTAACTTAAATGTAGGCTCTATTAGATGTAAATGTTATGGTATACCATGGACGCTTCAACCTTTACATTTTATAGCCATAACTAATTTAGATTGTTTTTACTTTACAGTAACAAGTTTGCGTAATCAACGATTGATTTTAGGGGTTTGCTTATACATTCGGAAATTCGTCTATTTTGAGGTTAGCCGGTTGTGCGTATATACCCCGAGCAATTATATGTGCTATAGCCACTGCGTGGTGGTAATTCCGCAATATTAAGATTGGATCCAAGTGCTTTATGACTTGTTGACTTCTTACCAAGTGGTGCAGCCAGTGTGTCGTGGAAGGATTTGAACCAATGGGAGTCATGCTGCTGCTCTACCAACTGCGCATTTATCCAAGTTGTGCTCAAATTAAAACTGCACGTCCACAAATGTATTGTCCTTAATGACTGCAATGCAATGTCAGATGTAAAATAAGAAAACTGTACTGTGAATCAGTGTCCATCTACTTAAACGAACTCGGATGATCGTCTATTGCCTGTCAACTGAGCAAATTTGTGAAAGTACCATTCTTATGAGGGGGATTTTTTTTGGTTAAATACAAATCTACAGATTCCCTATTGCCTTACAATGTGTTGCATCGTGCATTAACACGAGCAATAACGCGAATTTGCATCCGCCGCAATATGCAGCGGGGATAGTGCGCACTTGGGACTGCGTGCGTGGCTTTAACGAAGCACGACTCTAACAAAAACGCGTGGCCCTTAAAGCAGAAATGGACAGATGAGCGCTGGGCCCCAGAGAACCATTCTCTGTCGGCGAGGAGCCGCACTATATACCTGCTGCGGGTGGGTTTGTCTTCTTTCATGATACCTGCAACACAAACACACACACACGACACGGCGAATCAAGGGGCCATCGAACCCAGCGGAGCGCGCACATTCAACAATCGCAACACAACCCATTGCGGACGACGGTTAACGTCAACGGTCGCGACGCGATGTTTACCATCGAACAAACATAAAGAAAAGAGGTGTAAACAGGGCGCGTTCGTACCAATATTTTGATTGAGGGTGAAAGTGTTGGTAGGTGGTGGTGGGGGGGGGGGGAGGGCAAACAAAAAATGGCGTCCGGGAAGAATGGGAAGAATGTTTACCCATCATTGAGCCTCGGCTGTTTCCTCGTATACATTACCATCAATGCCGCAGTGTGTGGAGGGAGTGCAGTGAGGTGCGAGTGAACTAATGCCGACGCCGCCAGGGCCGCGTTCGAATTCTCGGTGTGTGTGTGGTGTGTGTGTGGCGGTGGTGAGGGAATCAACGCTCGGCGCAGAGACGAGGAGCAACAGCAGCGGCCGCCATGACGAGAGCTGGGCCGGGAACCGGATCCGGACACGGAGAGGAACCGGGTCCCGCTGTGGAGTTGGATCCGGAAGGAGAAACCGGATATAGAAGGGGGAAGGGGGAGGAGCGTTGAGGGGGGTTGGGGGGGAGGGGTTGGGGGGGGAGATGGGGGGAGGGGTTGGGGGGAGGGGTTGGGGGGGGGAGATGGGGGGAGGGGTTGGGGGGGAGGGGTTGGGGGGGGAGATGGGGGAGGGGTTGGGGGGAGGGGTTGGGGGGGGAGATGGGGGAGGGTTTGGGGGGAGGGGTTGGGGGGAGGGGTTGGGGGGGGAGATGGGGGAGGGGTTGGGGGGGGAAGATGGGGGGAGGGGTTGGGGGGGTTGGGGGGAGGGGTTGAGATGGAGGAGAGGGGTTTGGGGAGGAGACGGGTTGAGGAGATGGGGGAGAGGGGTTGGAGGGGTTGGGTGGGAGGGGTTGGGGGGAGGGGTTGGGTGGGAGGGGTTGAGGAGATGGGGGGAGGGGTTGGGGGGAGGGGTTGGGTGGGAGGGGTTGAGGAGATGGGGAGAGGGGTTGGAGGGGTTGGGTGGGAGGGGTTGGGGGAGGGGTGGGTGGGAGGGGTTGAGGAGATGGGGGAGGGGTTGGGTGGGAGGGGTTGAGGAGATGGGGGAGAGGGGTTGGAGGGGTTGGGTGGGAGGGGTTGGGGGAGGGGTTGGGTGGGAGGGGTTGAGGAGATGGGGGAGGGGTTGGGGGAGGAGAGGGGGAGGGGTTGGGGGGGGGGATGAAGAAGAGGGGTTTGGTGGGAGAGGGAGATGGAGGAGAGGGTGATGGAGGTGAGGGGTTGGGGGAGGAGAGGGGGAGGGGTTGGGGGGGGGGAGATGGGGGGGAGGGGTTGGGGGGGGGAGATGGGGGGGAGGGGTTGGGGGGAGGAGTTGAGATGGAGGAGAGGGGTTTGGGGAGGAGACGGGGTTTGGGGAGGGGTTGAGGAGATGGGGGAGAGGGGTTGGGGGGGGGATGAAGAAGAGGGGTTGGGTGGGAGAGGGAGATGGGGGAGAGGGGTTGGGGGAGGAGACGGGCAGGGGTTGACAAGGTCTGTGATATCCCCAACCTGACTACGGCTTGGGAGACTTTCAGGTACACGTTTCTCCAAATTCTTAACAAACATGCTCCGTTGGTTAGATTTAAAACTAAAGGCAACCGCCCACCATGGTTTGATCCTTTGATTACTCAGCTCATGAAAACTAGGGACAAGGCTTGGGCATGTGCTCAGAAAAGTAATTTGGTCAATGACTGGCTAGAGAACAGGATTTTAAGGAATAGATGTGTCAAAAAAATACGGCATGCAAAACATGCCTACTTTTCCTCAACTCTCCTGGAATCACATGGAAATGACAGGATTTTCTGGAAAACATTCAAATGTATCGAAAAGGCATCCAAAACAGATAATCTGCCCGTTGAGCTTAACCGAAATGGGGAATATTTTTCAGATCCCTAAAAATTAGTTGGCAATTTTAACCTTCATTTTCTGAAGCTGGCAACCTTTTTGATAATGTATTGGAGGGGACCCCTGCTCATGCAATGTCCTACACCCCTGTCCAAACATTAAAATAATTTAGTTTCCAGGCAATCCACGAAAGTAATGTTCTGGAACAACTGTCCTACCTCAAAGGGTCCTCCTCTACCGGAGCAGATAGTATTCCTGTCTTTGCTCTACTAACTGTTGGTCACCTAATATACAAACCTATAGCCCATATTTTCAACCTGTTCATCAAAGAAGCATCAGTTCCTCTAGAATGGAAACATTCCTATTTTCGTCCACGTCACAAAGGGGGCCCTAAAGATGATCCAAATAACTACCGACCTATCTCAATTTTGTCCCCATTGATGAAAATTTTTGAAAAATTATGAAACTACCAAATTATCAGTTTCCTGTCCGCCAACAATCTATTACATCTAAAATAATCTGGGTTCCGAAAAAAATTCAGCACCATATCTGCTCGTTAGACTCTCTGAATCACATTTACAGTAGCCTTGATAATAAGCAATACTGCACCTGTCTTTTTCTTGACTTGTCCAAATCTTTTGATACAGTAGACCACAACACCCTGCTTAGTAAACTAATTTGCCTCGGTTTTTCCGAAAACGCAGTAAAATGGTTAAAAAATTACCTCTTTTCCTTCACCCAAACGGTATTCACAGATGGTTGGAGGTCAAACAGTGTTAAGATAACAAAAGGGGTTCCACAGGGTTCCATCCTTGGCCCCCTCTTGTTCTCTCTCTATGTCAATGACTTTGGCACTGAACTGGATCATTCCAGCGTAAATCTTTTTGCAGATGACACCATACTGATTACTGCTGGCTGCTCTCCGGATGACGTGATTGCTAAGCTCCAGGGTGATTTCAACAAACAACAACATCAGCTAGTTGCTCTTAAACTAGTCCTGAATACCTCCAAAACCAAGGTGCTATGCTTCTCACCAGGACTAAAGCAGGAAGTTATTTTCCCCCAATTACATTCCTTAAATAATTATCAAATAGAGCAAGTCAAGATCTATAAGTATCTTGGGGTCATCCTGGATTCAAAACTGAATTTTGAAGATCACATTGATTATATTGGTAAAAAGACAAAAATAAAAATGGGTTTTTTGTACTGCTTCCCCCCTATGTTCCGTGTGAAATTGATAAAAGCTACTGTAATGAAGGACTCCTTCACACACGATGTCACTCTCCATTGGTCCTTTATTTAGATTCTTCTCCTCCACACCCCGCTGGCCTCCTCCTCGGACCAGCGTCTCCTCTCGCGTGCCACGCACGCCCTGCTAGCCCCTCCGCTAGCCCCGTGCACGCCGCATGCTCCGCTAGCCACTCCGCTAGCCCCGTGTGCCTGGCTGACGGGGTCCCAAGCCCTATCAGCCACGTGGCTGATGGCGTGGCGGCCACCCAACGTGGTCCCGCCTCTTCACTCCATCGACTGGCCCTGATCTCTTCCGGGCTCCCTCCTATAACCTCTCTCCCACGTGACCCTGACTCCTCCCTCTCGGATCGTCACATCCGGCCTTCCCATTTACGCTCGCATTACACTACCATACTGCCTCTACTTGATTACTGTGACATCGTGTATAAATCAGCCCCAAGTACTGTACTGAAGAAGCTTGACTCAATTTATCACTCGGCCTTAAGATTTGCATTGAACTGCCCATATAGGACTCACCACTGTGATCTCTACATTGGGTCAAACTTAACATCTCTTAATGTTCGACGGCTTGTGCACCAGATCTTATTTATTCACGATGTACTTACAAAAAAATCCGCAGACTACCTTCTGGATCTCCTCTCTGTTTCAAAGAACAAATTGGACATAAGGTCTTCACTCATTTACCAGCTTCACATTCCCTATTTCCCTACAAATACTGGAGGAAGGGCCTTTGCTATTGATGCCCCCAGGGTCTGGAATGCTATTGCCAATAAACTGCAACTTGAATCACTACTTATGAGATCTTCACTCAAAACTGCTCTAGAGGAGTTGTACACCCCTAGCTGCCACTGCTATTCAGTGGCCTAAAATAAAAGAAAATGTTTCGTTCCGGATGACCACTGCAAAGTATAGTCTGTTTTTTTATTTAGTGTGCTGATCTTAAAGGTGCATTGAAAAATTTGATACTCCGACTGATGCTCCTGATGTTGTGGAGTGACTCATGCAGCCAGCTATGTCTGCAAGATTTGGTGGTGCATGTTGTTTATGTCGTTTATTGTTCAAATTTGGCCACAGTTCCTATGATCACTGTTACATTGCTTTTATGGCTTTATTTTGGTGATTTCGAAAACGTGTTTTGGTTTGGCCATGTTTGTTTGTTGTAGTATGGAGTTAGACTGATGACCTTAATCTAAGTTGTCTTGTGGTTGTTGTTGTTGTTTGACTTGCATCCCACTGGGATTTTGGCACACAGCGTTGGTGTACGGTGCTTTTGTCTGGAATTTTTGCTGTTTTGTTTTTTCTGGATTTTTTGTTTGCCATTAGTCACATAGTCACTTTAAGATGTTTCCTTGTTCATGTTTTTGTTTGTTGCGGTTGCACCCGATTCAAGAGCCAAATGGCTCACAGGGCTATACCTAATAAATGAAACTAATACAAAAACTAATAATAAAAATAAAGATGGGGGAGAGGGGTTGGGGGGCAGATGGACCAAGTGTCAAGTTGGTCATGACGGCATACGCCGACAACATCCTCCTCATCCTTCGTTCCCTGGATGATGTCGCCCTTCTGCACGAGTGTCAGGAGGTCTTTTCGAAGGCCTCCTCATCCAAAATGAACTGGCAAAAGTGCAGCGGCCTGCTGGTTGGAGCGTGGGACATGACCCAGTGTCCCGAGAAGGCAAAAACCATCAATTGGAGCACAACATCGCTGCACCACCTGGGGTGTTCCTCGGACCAGAGGAGGAACCACCGCAAAGGAACTGGGTCGAGCTGAAGGTGAAGGCACCTGGAGTCGCCTGTGCAAGTTCCTCACCTTCAGGACAAAGACGTTGGTGGTGAACCAGCTGGTGACATCCATGCTGTGGCACCGACTCTTCTCCCTGCACCCCTCCATGAGCCTCATCAACACGCTTCAGAAGCGAGTCCTCGACTTCTTCTGGTCGGGCGGAGGACACTGGGTCGCGGCTGGAGTCCTGTCCCTGCCACTGGACGAGGGCGGTCACGGGCTGGTGTGCGTGCGGAGTCAGCTGGCCACCTTCCGACTGCAGGCCGCACGAAAGTTCCTGCACGCCGCCCCTGCACCAGCCTGGAGCGTCACGGCCTCCTTCCTCCTGAAACAGCTGGGGGGTCTGCAGTGCTCCAAACAACTATTCTACTTGGACCTGCAGGGCCTCCCACTGGGACAGCTGCCACCTTTCTACAGGAGCGTCATGCAGACATGGAGCTCCCTCGCCGTCAGGAGGCTGAACCAACCGCGATCGGCCGAAGATCTGGTGTTCGAACCGATCCTCAGGAACCCACAGACAAAGCTGCCATCCACCACCGCCACCCCCGGCATGGAGAGGCGCCTCACCAATGCGCGGCTTTCCAGGATGGGA